GAAATACATTTAATAGATCATTTGCCATTCCAAGGTAATAAATGCAAACAGACTCTAAAATGCTCTGAATGTTCTGCTCTTTTAGTAGCAGGTTAAAAGATCATTGTCTTCAGTGACAGAACCATATTTGCTCCAGACTAATTTCTGTGTGCTCACACTTGTGCAGTTACAGCCTGACCCAGACTGAGCTGTTTCTTCACTCTTTACTGGACGAGGAACCCGTCAAGACGGTTGTTGCCCCAGAGGCTCCTCGGTCTGACCACCACAGAGCAGCCAGCAAAGAGAGGGAAAAGGTATTCACAAACACAGGCAGAGAGAAAAACAAACAGCGCAACAGACCAAATGTATACATCCGTTTTACATGTGCAGTAACTATGTATTTTCATCTATAAACTCTGTATCTTTACTGTTTACTTTAGCACTTATTTGCCATCTTCAGTTGTTGATTTTGGAATTACATTGTGTTGCTCTACAACATGCTGTTAAGATATTTTGACAGTAATGGTACCACCGTATTTTGTGATTCATGATACATTGCAAGTTTATCTACGATACATCAGTACTCAAATAGTACATGTAAATGTAGTAAATGCCATTACATCTAGGATGAAATGGTGAACCGCAGTAGAGAGAATGAATTAAAGTATTTTTCATTTACACACAATAACTGAAACACTTGTGCCATCATTTACATCTAAAAACAGCTGCAATCGTGCAGTAAAAAAAGTAAAATCACCACCTCTGTATCACTACAAACAAGCTAGGGACCACAATATACAAGTTATTTATTACATTTTCCACCCTTAATTAGCTGTCAGTATCACTCTGTCCTTCTAAATCTTTCAGCGGCAGAAGCCTCTAGAGTCAACCATACCCAACTATCAGGATGTGGAGGACCCAGAATACGACGACTTCCGGGCCGAGGCCAGCCTGCAGAGGAGCCGACAGCTTGAGAGTTTCGCCAAGGCTGCTGAGGCCTACAAGCAAGGACGCAAAGACGTGGCCTCATTTTACGCACAGCAGGCAAGTGGCTGAAGCCAAATGTTTCACTCTTATATTATGTTTTCTATCCCAGGTTTGTTTTCATCTGAGAAAAAACTGAGTATTTTTCAAGTGTTATATTAAGTTTTTATGTGAAAGATTGTTTGTGAAAATATTTTGTGTTTGAGGTAACATCTCTAACTTTATTACTAACATTTTCTCCTTGTTTGTTTTGAATTTGTAGCGTGTAATTTATTCATGGTGATAAATGCTCTTCTGAAGGGTCAGTTAATTTTACATCAACTCTTTTCTTAGGGACACATGCATGGCCAGCGGATGCGTGAGGCTAATCACCGTGCAGCGGTTCAGATTTTTGAGAGAGTCAACTCGTCGCTACTGCCCCAGAACATCCTGGACCTCCATGGACTACATGTAGATGAAGCCCTGGAGCACCTGGCCCAGGTCTTACAGGACAAAATCACAGGTATTTAACAATGTACTGTATACACTTGCTATAGCCCCTTCCAAACTTGCACCTTTATGTTAATCTGATAGCAATTAAACATGTTCTCATGTTTCATCAAGGACCACGGTCACTTTTACATAAAATTCACAACATCCATCATACCCAGTTGGACCCATTAACATTTCTGCAACACTTTCAGCAAGGCACAAGTCTGAATGGAATTCTGTCAAATTAACTTAAAGGCTGTCGCAGCACAAAGGAAAATATGCAGAGATATGAGACTACATGTGCATCTTATATCGTTGCCGCCTTCTAAGATCACTGTATAACATTTATTATCTCAATCTTCATCTCATCTCAGTCTCTCCTCTGCTCCCTCTCATGCACCAGGTGCCAACTACTGCACAAACATAGTGTCTCTTTCCACAAATGTGCTATCATGTCTGACAGAAGCTATAAAGACCATTAACATAACAATCCCTCATGTCTGAGTGACAAAAAGCCACCACTTCCACAGATAGCTGAAACCAGAAATGTTATATATTCCATGTCTGATATTGACTTAAAAGTACAACATTGGCTTCTTAGGTCACTTTCACACCTAAAGTACTGTTCACCTGGTCTGGACTAAAGAAATGAGCCAGGGCTATTTAGACGTCTAGTCCTCAGTACGGATCAAACTCCTAAAAATCCTACACATTATCAGGGTTATATTGTCAAACTTTGCAATCCTTCCTCCAGAGAGACAGAATATATTATTAAACAGGTTTTACAGGCTGCACGGCACTCCTCATGACAAGTTAAGAGTTCCCCTTTAAGTCCAGACTCCAACCAGGGGTTTGGGGATGTACATCTGAACCATAAGTGCAATCACAATAGCCAGCAAGCACCACTGTCTATCATTACTTTCACTTTCAAGTTTGCATTGTTGCCCCTTTCACAGTTCATGTGTATCCCTCCAGTTAACGCTTCTGTGTTTTGTTCTTTTTTGCCCCTTTTCTGTGTAGAGTGTGAGCAGGGTCTGTGTCGACCTCAGCTCTCTGTCATCACAGGAAGAGGGAACCACAGCCAGGGGGGCGTGGCCCGCATCCGCCCCGCCGTTATAGACTACCTCAGTAACAAACACTACAGGTATACTCACACTCACACTCACACTCACACATTTGCACAATGTGTTCATTGCCACCCACCTTTTCTCCTATCTCTTGATCTCTCAGGTTCACTGAGCCAAAGCCAGGTCTTGTGTTGGTCTCTTTGAAGTGAGAAGAACCTGGTTTATAGGATTCAAACTAAAGCAGCTAAGGAGGACAACACACTCTCTCTCTTCATCTCATCCACATATAGTTATTACAGTATATACAGTATGATACACTCAGCCTTCTTGTTTCTTACTTCTGACAGTCAGGTCTGGTACTTTTTTTATACATCCACTCTTTCTCCATCAGTCATTTAGCCGCCATAAATTTAATCTTAATCTTGATTAAATTGAGGTTAATTTTAGTTAAGATCTTAATCTAAATTCAGATGTTAATCACAATAGTTGGCATGGAACACAAATAAGGTATTTCTATGAATCTGTACATGTACTGTATATTTTATATTTAAAATGTTACATAGTGTGGTGTATTTTGCTTCACATTTTGTCTTTATGCCTTTTAAAGAATACAAAAGTCCCTATGTTTAGAAGGCTCCATGTTGGATAAGATGTTGTTTTATCTTTTAAATATTTACTAATTTGGAGTCATGTTTGAGACATAATGCAAGTATTTTATGAAACTTATTTGAATCATGGTCACAATCTGTGTGCGTGGAGGTTGTTTCTCTGGTTTTTAAATATAACATTCTTTTGTTGTTGTATTTGGTACAAATTTTACATTTACTGAGTACAGTAATCACATATTGTCCTCTGAGAAGTCAAATGCTTAGAGGGAAGTTTTTTCTCTTGGTTGAAGTGTTATAGTGCGTCATGTTCAACATGAGGTGAGCCTGAAACTTTTGAGATGATCAAAGGCAAATAAATAGATTATCAATAGTTTAAACAGTCTCCACTGTAAGTTCTGCAGGAATCACTTTGTCTTAGCAGCTGCCTGTGCAGCATACACTGCAACTGTTCATTTACTTTAACTTAAGTCCAAGCCAAGATTAGCTGCTAACGTATTCATATTCAAACTCAGGTAAAGATTCAACAATGTTGAATCTTCTTCAATTTAAATGCCAATTGATTGTTTCTTTGTAGTTTTTCTTTAGCACGTTGTGCCAAATTTTGTAGCAGTTCTATTAATCAGGTGGCTACACAAATTTTGTAGGTTTAAAATCGCTTCTGTTTCTCTATATGTACAACAGCAGTGTTGACAGATTTTACTGATTGTACATAATATTGTGAACACATGAATTATAAAGAGAATATTGTATTTTTTTATTCATTTGTTCAAATGGTTTTATATTATACTGTGGAATAAAATTCTATTTGTTTACAGTTTAACACATGTTTGTGTGGCATCAGTATTTCTCTTGAGTGAATGCAGCTTTGATAGTTGTTTATGACTGATCTGTAATTTTATGACCATATAAATTACAGTTTTCTTCACTCACAATTGGACAAGTTTGTATTTCTCAACTGATAATAATGTAAAAATATAAGTATTTGTGTATTAGTGCCGTGTTAATAAAACAAACCGTCACAAAACACTGATAACTAGATTTTGACATTTAATATTGGTCTGTGCATCAAAACAGCTTCCAGTTTGTGATGGTGCCTTTAAAGTGGTAATGATACTGATAAAAGAGGAAAAGTATAATTTATGCTATTTACATCTTATATCTTGCTTTCCATCTCCACTTTGCATCTAACTTCTATGTGGAGTCATGATCCATGAGTCCACATAGTCATTCTGAAGAAGATTTATTAATTTACTACTAATTTTTAGGCTCACTGTCCAGCTGTACCACCCAGCTTCTACTGAGCTTGAGCAGGTGGAAAGCCACACTTACATTTTCCTGTAAGATACCTTGATAAACTTAGGAGTTCATTTTCCCCTCTCATCCTGGTAACTTAGACGAAATTCTGACTGAATTTATACACATATACATATATATTTCGTATAGATTTGTACATAGTTATATATTAGCATAAATTATTATTAAAAAAATAGAGCAATCGTTCCTACTGTTGTACGCTATTTTAATTACCTGACTTGTTGCTCTTAATAGTTTTCAATCCATGAAAATATGCACTCAACATGACATCCCTGTCACCAGTATGAACATAATTTCAGAGTAGAAAATAGATGGTTGTGTAAGAACTGTTTAATGTCAGTGTAAAAAAAGTTTCATTTATCAGCATGCTTACCATGAAGTTTGCTGAGTGAGACAAGCGCAATATAAGATCTTTGTAAATCCTTTATGTGCGCCAGCTGCGTAAAGCTGCAAACCAAATGATACGAACGCACAACAGAGAGAGAGAGAGAGAGAAAAAAAAAACCCATATTGTAAAGCACAGCTGCTGTGGGGGAGGCGAACTGAAGCCTCAGTCAGTCACACCTCCACACTTTAACAAGCGGATGCGTTGTGCTTGTCTTTGCTCTCCTTCTTCTTCACTTCCCTCCTCAACTTACACCAACCTCATCGCTGTCAGGCAGGTGCTGAGATATTTCGCCTGTGTGTGTGTTGGCCAAATTAATGGATGACCTACGGTAGCTATGGCGTCCTAAGGTCTGCAGTTCAGCAGGTTGTCGTGATAAACTTTTTCTGGAGTTTGAAGGCTGTTTTTGTCGGCGCCGTGAAGTCTTCAAAGGCGACAGCCAGCATCCGCCCGTTAAAGACTGAAACCGACAAGAAAGGTAATTTTCTTTTTCTTTGTCCCCAGTTTACGTTACAGCGTGTAACAGAGGCCTTCGTGGTTACTGTTCATTTCTATTTTATATTAATTGAAATATGCAACATATACATCAAGACATAATGTGGGGACAAAGCTAAACCTGTTTCAAAGTTAAATCTTAAAAATGAGCAAGTTGAGATGTACAGGATGTATTCATACTCTCAGCATAAAAATACAATTGTTAAAGTGTAAAATGACATTTCATTGTAAACTTACAAGATAAACGTGCAGTTTGCAGGCCAACATGAAGTAAGAGTTGAACAGCTGAATAAGTTGAACTAAGGATTTGATCCTTGTTTTCTATTTTTTTTAGTTATTTTTTTATTCCTCCTCTGACAGACTGAGAATATAAAACTAAGGCTTCTCCTTGTGACATAATTTAGAAAGTTCAGGTGTGGAAAAACCAATGATTAAAATGTCCCATCTACTTTTCAGGGGTCTTTCCACATAGATGACTATGTGCAACATGGCAGGTGGTTTTGAGGTTATGACTTGTTGTCTCCGTTACTTTTATACAATTGTCCAACTGTCAGAAACATGATAAGTAACCACTAGTAGAGTTTATTTTAACATAGCTATAAGAACCATGAAGATTTATTTGTATCACTTTCAAACAATAACACACAGAGACATCCTCATACATTATCAGATGTTCGTTTATGGTGTAAATTGCAGAACCAGGACTGGTTCTTCCATAAGGTATATTATATATTAAAGTTACAGGAGACAGACATGTCATAAGGTAAGAGCCTAATAATACAACACACCAATATGTGTTGATATAGAGCACCTGTTAATGTCGTCAGAACCAAGCTCTGAATTCTGGGTCACACCCAAACATATGAATCTTTACTTCCGTATTTAATCAGTACTTTGTGTCATATATCTGAAGCTTTGTACTCTTACATTTCTCTGTGAATATATATTTTTGCTGTTACAAAATGAAAAGCTGATGTCATCTGCCACATTCAGTAGTCTAGCAGTTGATTACGTTGATATTGTTTAAGCAGATATTTCGGATTTGTCACACAAAATGTATTGTATTGAGAGCTAGGCTGCTGTTATCTGCCACAGTAGGCTTCATGTTGTATGAGAACAATCTGTCGACTGTCTGGAGACGCGTCTAAATAGGGGTTCAGTTAAATGAACAATTTGCTGAATAATTTCAGTTTCTAACCGTTCTGTCCTTTTTAAGATGACTTCCACAGTACAGATACCTCATGTTCATAACCTCCCTTCGTTCCCCTTCCTCAGTAGATTTCCCTCGTCAATGCTGAGAGGTTAGATTTGTCTGGACAGAATGACGGTCTACAAGATCATCAGAGAGAACGACCAAAACCTGGTCACCACCCTGCCGTGAACAACCGGAAGTGCAGCGAGCCGAGAGGGCCTCAAGAACTAAGAGGTTATGTGAAGCATATGTAAAGCTCACAGCTCGAGCTGTACATACCTACTGTGTACTAGAGATGTTCACTCTGAAAACAGACATTATAGGTCAGTTTAATAAGATGAATGACCACTGAAATATCCAGGAATGGAATTACCACAAGGCAGGGCTGCAAATCGCCTGGTATGAAAACTAACACCTGCACGCGGAAGTACGGCACACACGAGTACTACCTGAGCGATTACTGGATTTGACTACTTTGTAGACCCTGTGTCTCTCCAGATCAACAAGTCACAGAAAAACCACCCCTAAGACTTATTCCAAAGAATCACAAACATCTAGAGTGAGATTACCAGTGGCAACCATGAATGGCCTAACAGAGATGTCGGTCAAGTGCGTCCTAGTTGGGGACACTGCGGTCGGCAAGACAGCCCTGCTGGTCCGCTTCACCTCAGAGACCTTCCCCGACACCTATAAGCCCACAGTGTTTGACAACACAGGGGTGGAGGTGTACATGGATGGGGTTCAGATCAGCCTGGGGTTATGGGACACGGCGGGTAATGACAACTTTAAGCAAATCCGCCCGAGATCGTACCAGCAGGCCGACATTGTCCTCATCTGCTACTCCGTGGCCAATCCTAACTCGCTTGCCAACGTCCAGCACAAGTGGATTGCTGAGGTTCGAGAGAACCTGCCCAGGGTGCCAGTGCTGGTCGTGGCCACCCAGACGGACCAGCGAGAAATGGGGGCACATCGGGTCAACTGCATCTCAGCAGCGGAGGGGAGACGTGTGGCTCATGATATCCGTGCTAAAGGCTATCTGGAGTGCTCCTCCTTAAGCAACCGAGGCGTGCAACAGGTGTTTGAGTACGCCGTGCGGACAGCCGTTAACCAGGCCAGGAAGCATGCCAGGAGACGCATGTTCAGTATAAACCAGTGCAAAGTCTTTTGACCTTCGACCTTGACCTGGTGGCGTGGCTTGAACTGTCATGAGATGACTTGTGTGTCCAATAATGCGTTAGTGTGCTGTTCAAACTCAGTCAGGGTTTGTAAAGATACAAGAACCCGATTTGTGTCCTCTATGTAGGGTTCTTTTTCACTAACAGGGTGTCCTGTCCGCCCATGACCCAAGACCCAACCCATATTTATAACTGAGAATACATTGATTTCATCATAGACCTAATACACACTCATGCAAATGTACAGATGGAAGTTGTACTTTTGTTTGATCCCGGGAGCGATGGAAAGAAAAGAGTTACTTTGATTCTTCTGATCTGTTTTTTTTTAAGTGAACCACATTACATTACATGGAGGTATTTCAAACAGGGCATCAGAGGAGTTTCTTTTTTTCTTAGGACTTTTACCTAAACGAGAGCATGTAAAGCTTTAATGGAGACATACAGCATAAGTTTTTTCTAATTATTTTACTAATAACTAATGCAAAGAGAAAACAATATTAATATGTAAGTTTGGGGCTGCATCAGCAATGAACTTTTGAATTGCAGCGTAAACCAAATAAGTGCATTTACTACCACAAATAAAATTACACAACACACATTTTTTTTTCTTTTACAGTTGTATGGAGCCTTTACAGTGTGATTTGAATATTTGCATCAAATGAGGACAACTCTAGTCCTATGCTCCTAAAACATTTTATTCGCTGAATCAGTAAGTAGTAGTGTGTAAGTGCTGCCATTTGTCCGCAATTAATTCAACTTTTAAGAATAAGATAATGTGGATGTTGCTGTATCAAGTTCGAAATACAGCATATTCTCTATTTTCTTTTTATATTAGACATGATTAGCAATTACTGTCAATAGGTCAAATGAGTGTTTGTATGCGTGTGTGTGTATGTGTGTGTGTGTGTTTTTAAAAGATACCTGTATTTGAAATGTTTACTCAGACATCAGTTGCATTGAAATTAACTAATACATGACTGTATTTAAAACTAAAAAATGCGCTCAGTATAGCGCAGACATCCGCCATGGCCAATGTCGGAAAGCGGTTCTTTTAACGTAATCCTGCTGACAAATAAACAAACACGGGGGAAAACATAACCTCCTTGGTGGAGGTAATGAACCAAAAAATCTAATGGTGTAATTGAGAAATTTATTTTATATCGTTAGAGAAACCAAACATTTAAAACATGTTCTAAAATAAAACAAAGGAACATGTAACATCAACATTTTTTGTGCATTGTAATTTATTGTATTGAACTGTATACCTCCTTTTAAAAATAAAAGAAAAAATATTAAGACATGACATGCTACCTGTGTATCTTGCAAACTGTCCCTGTCATGACTGGTTTCTGGAATGACTAATTTTATGACATAAATCAAAACTACAGACTTTACCATTATTGAGCAACTGAATATAAGGGGAAGGTCAAACATCTGGTTGGTTTTTGAAATACATCTGGTTATTTTTTCCATTAATGTCTGTGTTATCTTACTGTCATGGCCAATTTCAAGCAGATTTTATTATACTATATGTCTGATGTACATGCCTAATATAATACATGTTTATCACATACATACATACAAAACGTATACATTATGGGGTATTTATGCTACCATTTGCCATACCTATAGTATGAAAACTGTATTAGAAAATACATTATATTGTATGTTTATATACAAAAATTGTATATAAATTGTACATATGATTGTCATAGATTTTTTTGGTGTGTAGGCTGCAAGAAAAGTCACATCATTGACTTTGACTAGATTGTTCCAGGCTATTTCTTGAACGATGGTTTGGTCAAAGAATTTTGAGCATAAAGCCATAAAACAATGCTTTTAGACATGTGTGTTGTGTGTCTGTAGTACAGTATTCATAAATGCAAAGTATGAACCATGAAATGAATGGAATGGCTGTACACGTAGATAAATAAAATGATCTTTTGTTTTTCACGAAGGCAATTTCACAAGGATTTCAAGAGACAGCTTGTTGAGAACAATGCATCACACACAGATAAGGGGGGTGGCGACGTAAAATGATTGCTCAGATCACAGATGAGACTTTAAACCTTTGTATCTATCCTAGTCAAGTCAGTTTTAATTATTTAGCCCAAATTAAGAAATTTGCCTGAGAGCATTTTAGGACTTGTACAACACATGACAATGGTTTATCCCAATCAAAATAAGAAAAAATCTTCCAACATTTAACAGTCATATACTCTGAAAATTGAAAATCGATAATGAAGGCGTAAAGAAAGACGACCAGGAACAGCTACTAAACAGAAAAAAAAAAAAAGCTCTGAGAAGCAGCCCCCCCCCCCATGCTTTCTCCTGCTCTTTCTCTACATATCTGTCTCGTGGTGTTTAGAGCTCCTAAGGATGAGAGGTACAGCACAGGCTTGTCAAGGATATACTGAAAAACACTTAACCACATGCCAGCACACACTCAAATATGTACATTAAACTGTGCACACATACATGAAGCCACTCGTTCACTTTGACATGCACTTACCCATACACTCTCGCTCATAATAGATTTATGTAGATCACATACGCAGGACACTCAGACCGCCTAAACAGAGTATGAACTTCATGAAAGTCTGCATGTCTTCCTACTATATTGCTTGACGTAGTATAACAGCGGATATAAACTAAAATAGATTACTAAATATTAATATATATTATTTTTACTAAAATAAACAAATGCTTATTGTCCTTTACACGTTGTTTGTGCAGGGCACTAAAGAATGTGACACAGATGGAAAGAGATTGCAGACAAATTCATTTGGAAAACAGCTCTCTTGTTCAAGAATCCAATAATACAGTTAGAAAATCAAGAATGAAGTTAGCGCTTAAGCACATTTGACTGCCTGCTGTCTCTCATTGTGCTCTCTCCCACATCTACCACAATACCTTACCCCTCTCGCTCTCTCTGTCTCTGTCTGGTCTTCTCTTACACACACACACACACACACACACACACACACACACACACACACACACACACACACACACACACACACACTACAGAAGTGTGCACAGTGTGGTTGCACTTACTTCTCAAGGGCCTCTGATGCGTTGAGCTGGTTGATGAGGTGGTAAATAGGCGCTTTCCACAGCAGACACTGTCATAGCAGAAGAGCCACAGGCGTGACTAATAACATTAATAATGGCTGCATTTCGTTGAGGCGGTGTTTATTCACGGCTCCGGCACTGTGCACGCTGGCTCACTGACTCGGTTTTCACTGGTACAGCCAAACTGAGGAGGGTCATCGTTAATGTTATTCGCCGCACCTGTGCTTTTCCTGCTGTAGTAAATCAACATGTCTGCTTCTTGACGACAACTTATCAGCCTTGTACTGCTCTATGTTGCACGTACATCTTCACACTCAGATGCCTTATTATTGACAAAACAGCAGTGCTGCTTTTAGAATTGCCAGCATTTCAAAAATAACATAATTACTTGTGAACGGATCCCATTAAAGACCAAAACCAACAACTTGTTCCGTCTCTCAACACTTTAAGTTTTAGTTTGTGTTGCTCAGGCTACACTGGCAGCTGGAGTTCCCTGCAACAAAAACAGGCATTTTGACCTGTTACTAATATCATTAATGATGGCTCTGTTCTGTTCAAGAGTCCCAGTAAACCATGACCGAACTCATTGAATTGAGCCACCAATTTACTTTATTATTTACACCTGTGCTTTTCCTACTGTAACATGTCAAGGGGGAACATGTGACCCAGTGCAACAACATGGTTCATTGATGTATTCTGTTTCTGGACAACAATGGAGCTCTAAGGCAAAGAGGAATAAGATACATCAGGCTTTGGCTCCACAGACAGTACATGTTGGTGGGCTCAGTTCATTGTTGGTTTTGCTCTTTTCACAGGATTTGTTGACAATATGAAAACTATAGAATATCACCAGACTTGTCCTCTAACAGTCAAGTCAACCGCATTTGTGTTGCTCACCCTGCTCAAGATTACTTAAGTACTATATAGGTGAAATGACTTCTATTCTACAGGCGATCAATGTTCACCAGACATTACTGATCATTGTGGGAGGGCGATAATCATGGTATTACACAAACACACTTCCTTAGCTGTTACACCAGTGATCTTTGTGTTTTCTGCCGGTCTCTGTGACCCTACCTCCGTGTCTTTTTCCTTTCTGCCCGTCTCTCCCTCATTTACTGCAAGAGCACAACACCCACACCTGATCTATCATCATCATTTATTGCAAACTCACAGTTTGTACAGTGCATACATTATACTGTGATTTTCAAAGTTCAGCATACAAAACACAGTATCTGTCTGTCTCACTCATACGCACAGACACACACCAACAGCACACACTGAGCCCTTCACACAGATTTACGAGAAGCCCAAAAACAAACCATGGTTTACAAAAGCTCATCTTCAACTTTAACACTTGTACATTGACACTATTTCTCACTTTCTTCCCTCTCTTACTCACACACACTCACACACACACACACACACACCCACACACACACACACACACACCCACACACACACACACACACACCCACACACACACACACACACACCCACACACACACACACACACACACACACACAGGAAACACCTGTCCTATGCGCGCTTAGTACCACAGAAACTCAGTGACACATTAACACATCACATGTGCCTTACTCTGCAGAATACGTGGAACAATGTCAGTAATATCTCTTACTGAAACAATAATTACGTGAGAGAAAATCGTTGATATACTAAAAGCTACAAGGACACAGTCTGCTGCTTTTGAAGTGGTTTAATCCCAGCTCTGATACAACTTAAATTATGAATTAAATAAAAAAAAGACTGCTGAAAATGAATGTGATCTTTTGTTTTTTCAGGTTTTTAGTACAACTAAAACACATTTGGCCTCAGTGGTCCTCGTATTAAAGACACATTATGAATCACATCCAATTTCTACTCTAGAACTATATTGACAACAATACTGATTTCTCTGGCCTCTGAAGATATACTTCATATTTATACATACGTATATTTCTGTATATTTATGTTCTACATAGATTCTAAAACTAAGAAAACACATGCAGATACACACAATACAAGCAAATTAAGAAAGCATGTTCATCAATTTGACAACACATGCGCCACAAATACACCAAACACAACCAAAATTTCTCTTTTTATCAGCACATTAAATCCAGAAATTCTAACCGCATTCACCAATTTTAGCTTCCTTTCACTGGCTCCCTATCCATGTCAGATCAGACTCTCTTTTTTAAGGTGCTTCTAACAACATACAAAATCTTAAATGGGCAGGTCCCTTCTGTATCTGTAGGATCTCCGTACACCTCATACTTACAACCTGTGCTCTGTGGTCTCGGAATTTGATTCGAGGATCTAACGACAGAGGGTGTCGCAATGCTGTACAGATTGTTAAGCCTCTGATTTTTTTAATATACATAAATAATTAATGTTCGTACAAAAACTGTGTCCCTCTAATTTTTATAGCGAATTAACTTCCTGTACATCCATTCTTCTCCCTGCTCATCTTTTTTCCTTGTCCAAATGGAGACTTTGGGGGTTTGGACATACACATTTCTGCATTTTCCTCAAAGAATGACACTTTGAATATTTTCTTCTTTTCTTTCTTCTTAGCAGTAATACTATTTTAGTAGTATTATTTAGTATTGTCCTTCAATACATGATTCATCTGAATCTGACAGGTTTTTAGAAAAAAAACCAAAAACCAAAAAACACGGATTCAATAAAGCATGGGACATGGACATGTGACGATAATGAGATTGAATGAAATAAAACAAAGTATAAATATGTATCAAGAGTTCTTCTCAGTAGCGGTTCTGGCTGTATGATTAAAATATTCCATTTTCAACTGCAAATAAAATAGTGTAAACATTTTTACATTTACTCATTTGGCAGATGCTTTAATCCAAAGTGACTTACAAGTGAGGGACAACACTACGTCTATTCAATAAGGTGAAGGTAAAGGTAAGGTGATCAGGTGAAGAGGTGCACTGACAGTGCCTAGTAAGTGCTAGTTAGGCATGTTGGGATGTTTGAGGTTTTAGACATTTACACTGCTACGTTTTAGTTTTAAAATGCATGACTTCTGCGTTCTAGTTTTAAAACTAAAACATGGATGGAAGAGATGAATCTTCAAGAGATTCTTTAAAGACAGAGAAGGAAATCAGCATGTAAAGATACTCCTAAACCTTAAAGATGTCCACAACTGCTGGACAATATAACAAAGTTCAATTAGTTGGCCTCCGTTTCTTGTTACTGATCTCTTCAACAACTACAGACAAAGACAGGATGAAACCCACTCTTATCACTGATCTACAACCAGTGTACAGCTTTACTGTCCTTATGTCAAAGATTCGTATTTACAGAGTGAAACCTGATCCTGGATCTGTGTGAAGTTCATGCCATGCGGCATGTATGACATGTGTCACATCGTCACCGACGTGTGTGTGTGTATTCATCTTGAATGACCTGAGCATGAGTAAGAAAGTGTCACTGTATGTGTGTGACTGACACATGTCATTACCTGTGTAATGCAGTAAGGTTCAGTGTGTACGTGTTTGTGCCTGTGTGTCGTACAGCTGGTTGTGGTCATGTACACAAGTGGATAAGGCTACAGGCATCACATTTCACCCAGTGCCTGTGTGCTATGTGATACTGCAGTGTACCTGTATGTGTGTGTGTGTGTGTGTGTGTGTATGAACGATAGCCCCCAGGTCCTGTTCCAGAGCAGCGATCACACACAGAGAGACAGTGACAGAGGCGAACTGCAACTAACAACCAGTGAAGCATTCAGAGCTTCTGACAGGATGTAAGATTTCGAGAATTTTCTGTGGTCTCGGCTCGCTCCGCCTCAGCAGGGGAAGATGGAGATCAGAATAGAGTGACGCTCTGGATTTGGACCCAGGCTGTCTCAGCGAGTGCTTCGCTGAATAATTGATCCCTCGGCTTGTGACTTGTTGAAGATGAGGAAGGCAGCGTTGATGGTTTGGATCAGCCTTTTGGTGCAAGGTCGGTTCTGCACGATCAGTTTGATGTTTATGACTTATAGTTTTGTTTTGTCTCTTTAAAACCTACTCTGCGCTGTTTGTTTGTTACTTTGTCTGTCTCTTTGCTTTTGTCCTCACCTTTTTTTTTTTGTCTGTCGTAACCTTTCTTTCCTCTTCATGTGCCTTTTGACCTCTCAGTGTCCCATGGTGCCCAGGGTCATTATGCCCGCAAACTTCTGAATGACCTGATGGAGGACTACTCCAACGCTCTGAGACCTGTGGAGGACACAGACAGTGCCCTCAATGTCTCGCTGCAGATTACGCTGTCACAGATCAAAGATATGGTGAGCAGAGAGGAAACTGAAATTCAACAACAGATTTAGAGCTACAACTGCAACTGCACACCCCTGCCACAGATACAACAATTTAACCCCACATAAAGTTCTCTTTTGATTCTATGTCTATAAATTCCTCCATTCTGGTTGAGAATATCAAAAACACATATATTCTGTACATTGTTGTGTCAACCCTTAAAGTTACAGGAGACTACACTGAGTTAATATTCAAATCCAAGACAGCATATGTTTCATGGCTGCACCATTACATCACATAGAAAATATACATAATATTTTGTGAATCAATTACATGTTATAAACCTCTAGAGGGATCAGTATTTGCTTCATATTTTAAAAAAGATAAACCTCAATCTGCCAAACGATGAAGGTGATTATGAAGACAGAGATCTGTTGTTGCTCGTGGCTCTTCTAACTGCCTCATAAAGGCTTGCATTTGTCACATGTTCATATAATATGTGCAGTGAAACGCAGAGCGGCATATTCTTGATGCTGCGCTAAAGAGGCCAGTGTGCAATGCAGAATTATCATTAGAGTATGAGTAGAAAAAAAGAATAAAAGTAATCAAGATTAACCAGCAAAGATTTATCATACATTAACAAATCACTCTAAGGTGAAGATGCTCCAAACAGCAGAGATGTAGATATAGATCTTTCCTTCCAGGATGTATCAAACATATGTCAAGATTGACAGAATCATGTTGATGAGGCATACACACTCAGTATCCACTTAATTAGTTAAACATGTACAGTCTAATGCGATTCAATATGACTTTTCTCCCATAAAGTTTACTTTTATCAAGCCTATGGTTTTATAGTTTTTAAGAACATAGGTCATAGATATTGATAGTGTTGCTTGATATTCAGAAGCATTTCTAATATTCTTCTAACTTCATGTATTTAATAGGGAAGACAAAAAACCCCCACACTTCTCAATATGATGGAGTCCAGTACAACACCACCTTTAACCATGCCCTCAGGAATAAACATATAATTGAATCTACACATTTCTAACAATGTCACTAGATTGTCATTTGATGTCATTAGACTCTAGATGTTTACCTAATAAAGGCGCAACTCACTGGAAATTAAAATCTAGGTATAATTAGATGCAGCACAACGTCCAGTGCCAGGAAGTATTCAAAAAGTATTAAAGTATTGCACTTTCAGAAAGGCAGGGAACTTGCTAAAGAAATATATAAAAGAGAAACAGTTGAAACTGATCCAGCAAATGATTTTCGTGCCTAATATTTTGTAGGTGAAGCTCCAAAAACACATTAACACAAACTCCACATTATGCACTAAACAGCACTGTTCTGGAGATGATATTCAGTGACAACCTGCAAGTTTAATGCACACCTCTGTGAACGTGTGTGTGTGTGTGTGTGTGTGCAGGATGAGAGGAACCAGGTTCTTACCACGTACCTGTGGATCAGGCAGGTCTGGCATGATGCCTACCTGAAGTGGGAAAAAGAGGACTATGACGACTTAGAGATGATCAACATCCCCAGCGACCTGGTTTGGAAGCCGGACATCGTCCTCTACAACAAGTCAGTAACAAGTGATGGATGTAAAACAGGGAACAGAGAGAGGAAAGTCAAACAAATAGAAAGAGACAGAGAGGGAGATATGAGGGGGAAGTGTTGAGTGCAAGCATCTACAAATGTGTACTTTCCACTTGATGTCCATGCAGGGCAGATGAGGAGTCAGGTGCATCCAGCACTAATGTGAAGCTGCGTTATAATGGAGAGATCGTCTGGGACTCTCCGGCCATCACAAAGAGCACATGTGTGGTGGATGTCTCTTACTTCCCTTTTGACTGGCAGCAGTGCAACCTCACCTTTGGCTCCTGGACCTACAATGGCAATCAGGTGTATTAACTGTTTCTGCTTCTCTGCTGTGCGTCTGTACAACTGAAATACTCATAGTATGTATGCGCAAATACTGGTAATTACTTAGTCACTTTCAAGTTTTGAGTTTCAAGAAGGGCAATAGTACAACAAGGAAGCAATAAAAGGTCAAATGACAAAAAAAACCCCACACTTTCTTTCATACCTTATGTTTTATAATTTAGATGAACCAACATTTTAAGTGACAAAAATCCAAATAAGATCACAGAGAAAGATCTTTTTGTGTCCGATTACCATCGTACCATCTTGGTCTGTCTTGGTTTCCATATTGTTCTTTTGGTGGAATGGAAACTCCAACTTGTTTATTGTGTCTGTTTGTCTGTTAGGCCTGGTAATCAGTACAGGGGATGTACCAGCCTCGTGTCCACTATGTTCTCCTCAATATTTCAATTTTTCATAACTCTTGATTTAAAACAATATTTATGCGGGATTTCATATTAAAAACTTCCACTGTATGTGTGTTCTCTACACAGGTGGACATCAGTTTGGGCATGGACAGCGGAGACCTGTCTGACTTTGTGGAGAACGTGGAGTGGGAGTGCCACGGCATGCCTGCAGTTAGAAATGTTATGATGTATGGCTGCTGCTCTGACCCCTACACTGAAATCACCTACACCCTGCTCCTGAAGCGCCGCTCCTCTTTCTACATCTTCAACCTGCTCCTGCCCTGCTTCCTCATCTCGTTTCTCGCCCCGCTGGGTTTCTATCTGCCGGCTGACTCCGGGGAGAAGGTTTCCCTCGGGGTCACAGTGCTTCTGGCGCTCACTGTGTTCCAGTTGCTGGTGGCTGAGAGCATGCCTCCTGCAGAAAGCATGCCCTATATAGGTTTGAATTATTATATACTATTCATAGTATGAAAGCCATTTTGCCACCAGGAAAAGTATAAATTGGATGAAAAGTTTATATAAGGTCAGAATGTTGACTCAGTGTCTTATAATTTAATCAAAAACTTTATTTATAATTTTGACTTAATATCTCATATTATTGGGCAGCATGGTGGTGCAGTGGTTAGCACTGTTGCCTGCAGCAACAGTTAAGGTTAGATTAACTGGTGTCTCTAAATTGCCTGTAATTGCCCGAATGGACGGATCTCATGAAGTTGACTTAGTAGGTCATGGATCATAGGCTTCCATTTAAAGCACAGTTATACAACTTTGAGACAAAATTGGCTAAACCTCTCAATAACTTGGTTAAGAAAGATGGATATGTCTTTGTATCATGATATAAATGGGACTACAGATTTCCAGATCACTGGTGATGAAGTGAGGGAGTTGAAGGAGTATGTAAATGTGCAACCCTGTATTGTACATATTAGAGCTTCTATGCAGATGTTGCCTTTCAACTAATTCCCCTTCATAAAATGATCTTTTTCTCTGTTTTGTTCCCAAGGGAAATACTATATTGCCACCATGACTATGATCACAGCCTCCACCTCTCTCACCATCTTTATCATGAACATTCATTTCTGTGGTGCTGAGGCCAAGCCAGTCCCTCACTGGGCTAAGGTGCTCATCATCGATTACATGTCCAAAATCTTCTTCGTCTACGAGGTGGGGGAGAACTGCACTACACCAGAGAGCGAGAGGACCCCACTGTACCCCGAGGAACCCTTGAGCGATAAGGACTGCTACCATGACGACCGTTTTCATGACGGCATCTACCATCACGACAGTGACCCGTACAAGTACAGCAATAGCCACAGCGTGCACCACAGCAACAAGCATCACAAAAGCCAGGCGAATGGCACCGCCAACGGCAGGAGTCATCATTATAACAACCATAACAACCACGCTTCCAGATTGGAGAGAGGTGACGCAAAAAGAGAGCCAACCCAACGCTACCACCACATCAGGAGGGATGAACTGGACTACCAGGCCCCCCCCCATCCACAAAACCTCCAGCATCTCAATGGTGGGCTGAAGGAACAGCTCCTCTATTCCACAGAAAAACATCAAGTCCCTGCCTGCCCCTGCTGCTGCCCCTGCCTCCAACATAAACAGGTGCATCACCACTGCTCGCCGTTTCTCCCTTTACTCACTTTACCTACTTATCTGATTACTGCTCTTCTTCTAAAGTTTCTTTAAGTGCTTGCTTGAGTTTACCTATCTGTCTCTTCCTCAGGTGGTGAAGAACATCCAGTACATCGCCAACTGCTTCCGCGAGCAGAGAGCGACGTGTGTCAAGGCAGCAGAGTGGAAGAAGGTTGCCAAGGTGATGGATAGGTTTTTCATGTGGATCTTCTTCGTCATGGTCTTCCTCATGAGCATTCTCATTATCGCTAAGGCCTCCTGACAGCCTCCTCCTCATCTTTTCACCTCCACTGTAACATTCATCCTCCAACACTGCTGGACCTCAGTGTTACTCCAGAGTCACCTCATTTCTACTTTAAAGCGACATCAGATGAATCAAAACAGTTTTGTCTACAAGGAGACATTTGATATGTCAGTATTGTGTTTTGTGTATGTGTGTTTGTGTAGGGTTAATTGTTGTTTTTATCTTGCTCTGACATAAAGAGCACAAGGTCACTGCACACACATTGACCATTTAACCACACACACACAACGAAATTCATCAAAGCCTCTCGGTTAGTTAACATCAGGTGTGCTTGCATGTGTCGCAGAGCAGTGGAGCGGTAAGACAATCTAGGCCTCACCTTGAACATGCATGGGCTCTCCATTATTGATGAGCTAACAGCCAGACATCCAGCTATAGGCATTATATTACTTGCATTACGTTTTAAGCAACCAGATGATGCTGTTTTCCAGAGTCGGTTACAACGAGAGCGCCAGCAGAGGAACCTTAAATACTTATGAAACAACAACCTTATGTATGATCTAAAATAGGGCAAAGGTCGGTGACACCACACAGAATCACACACGTCCTCATAAGGATTGTCACTAATAGAGATAAAAATGAGCTTAATACATTAAAGCCGGGGGAAACTGGAGAAGTGGTTTTTTAGTTTAGATGTCAGAAATCAGTTTACATAAGTTGTGAATACTTGAATTTGAGAAGTGAAAGGATGAATGTTTACTTTTCTTTCATAAGATCCCTCACTTTTTAATGCAACATTTGGACCTTGCATCCTACCTCCAGAGAATGAATGGTGGGTATATTTTACCTGTTGACATTTTGCTTATTGGTCCAGTAAAAAAATCTTGATATCTTGTTATCAAAACAGCTTTTACTCATTGTCCCAGCAGTTTGCGCTGTGGTACAAACCTAATTTGTTATATATAATGTGTGTATACATTTTTGCAATGCCGTCCATTTGTTTTGTTTTTTTGCATATAAAATGTTATTTCATTACTTCATACTTTTTTCTGCAAAATCATTGCTTTTATACAGGGTGTCATCTCCATTGATTTGTTTAATGAACAAAAAAAAAAAAGAACAAATATCCAGCATTAATGATCATACAGATGCGAGTATAAATCACTCAGTAACAGGAAGGTGTGAATTAGGTGCAAAGTGCAGGTGAATGAATGAGCCTGGGTTTGTGTCCATTACCAAAATAGCCTGTAGAGGGCAGATAAGCTACAATCCACATGGTAGTCGGTTACTGAATGACTGAATAAATGAATAGATGACGGTATAAATGACTGAAGGAATGCATGAATAAATGAATGAATGAACTCCATGCATAACAAAGTGAACATCTAAGTACATGTATACAGAAAGTGCCCAATGGACGGCTCAATGACACCAAAGGGCATAAAAGACAGAATCTGTAGAGTATCAGCTCATCCTCTTAATGGGCTATAATGTGTAACACCAATAAAGTATATTTCAAAAACTGATTTTAAGGATACATTAAATAAATCAGTAAAACATTATTACCTCCACAAGTGAAGTGTATTCTGATTATGATTTGAAACAATAAACAAGAGGGTAAACAGGAGCATAACTGATGCAAAAATGATTCTGTTACAGTAAATAAAATCTCACTGCTGGCCTGATTATTTCTAATGTAAGAAATAACATCAGATAATCTGAATATTCCAAGCTCAAACTGAAGTTCATTAATTTTTCTACAAATAGGTGTTCCCATTTACAGACTCCAAATATATACCCTCCTACACTCATTGAATATCTTTCTTTAGACAGAATTAAAATAGATTAAATTAATAACATCACAAAAAACAGAATAAATACTGACACAACTGTTAAAGAAAGGGGAATCCATTTAAAGTTTACTCTCTTAATCTTGAGTCACTTTGTCCTTGTGATACCAACGTATTGATAGCAGGCTGTCTGTAGTCTCAGCACCAGCTGCATCAACATGATAAAAACTGTCAATAACTTGTCTTGTCACATCAGGCAGACTAACCTCTGCCTCCATCTAGTGGAATTTAGTCGAAACAAATACGCAGTTGTATAGTCTCCTGTATTAACTCCTGGTTTAAAGGGAAATGCCACAAATTTCTATTTGCCACAATAGTCTATTTACAGGTCCTGGGAAGTACTACTGCTTATATGAAAAGAAAGCATTTTGTGTCTCCAGTTAGGAGTCAAAAAGTGCCCAGTGAGATTACATGAAAGTATACTGTACCTACAAATCATTATATTCATTTGAAATTTTTCCTCTCCTCTGTATTACATTAAATGTCAGCAGTTTTGTCTAGTCTCTAAAATTCTGCATGAAATCAGTAAGGTGACTCACTTATTGATTCCTGGTGGTTTGTAAACAACAGCTAATCAACTTATTTTTAAGATAAAGCAACACGACAATCAAATGACCCCAAATAATCACATTACCCACTCATACAACCCCCGACCTTACACTCGGGCTTCTTCCTGGATCTTTGACTGTGCTGGACAATGCCCCCGTGATGGAGTGTGTATAGTGAGAGATAAGGCCTGCTCTGCTGAGTGTTAAAGAGACAGACTATTGGGCCACACTTTCTCCAGAGTGACATTACAAACATGGTGATGACGATGGTTAGAGTTCAGAGGGGATTCATGTGTCCTAAGGGCAGACACACCCACAATGTTGGGATCTATATAGAGATGCACTGCTCTCATTTGTTCTCAGTTTATGGAGGATAGCGAGCAGAAACATGTCATCTATAAGCAAGCAGCTGTCTTCCATCAGCTGCACAGGTAAGTTCTGACTTTTTGTTTTTTTGTTTGTTTGTTTTTTTCTTTTTCGTTCTTTTGAACATAGCCTATCATTTCTCTTTTTGTGTCTCTTCAGGCAGGAGGCCATCTCCCTCCTTCACTGAGATCAGACTGGTTTTACTTGGGAAGACTGGTAGTGGAAAAAGCTCCACTGCCAATTCCATCTTGGGGCGTAAGGTCTTTGACGCAAAGGTCAGTAGCTCCTCAGGCACTCAGCGTTGTCGCAGGGCCAGTGGAGAATTTCGTGGGCGACACCTGACACTACTGGACACCCCAGGGCTGCTGGACACTCATCAGACTCCACAGGAGGTGCAGAAGGAGCTGAGGAGGAGTGTTAGCCTCCTGTACCCTGGGCCCCACGTGTTCCTCCTTGTTGTTCAGATCGGGAGGTTCACTCAGGAGGAGAAGGAGGCGGTGCGGCAGATCAAACAGGCGATGGGCTCTCAAGCTTTGAGGTTCTCAGTGGTGGTTTTTACCCATGGAGACCTTCTGGAAGAAGGGACATCTGTGAAGCAGGGTCTGATAGACGGCTGCAGGGATCTGGCTGAGCTAGTGGAAGAATGTGGGGGCAGGTATTGTGTCTTCAGCAACTATAGCTCCAAGAGCAAGGAGCAGGTGTCTGAGCTGCTTGCCTTAGTAGACAGCACGATGCAGGGTAATGAAGGAAGCTACTACACCAGCAAGATTCTCCAGATAGCAGAAGAAGATCTGGATCGGGAGCTGCAGGAGGAGAAGAGGCTGCTGGAGGAAAAGGAGGAGCTGTTAAAAAAGAAGCAGGAGGCTGCAATAAAAGAGAGGTACAAAAGAGAGCTAGAGATTTGTCAGCAAAAAAGCAAGATGGAGATGGAGGAGATGAAGAAAAAACAAGAGCTAGAGAAGCAGAATGGGGAGAAACTGGAGAGAGTTCGAGAGGAGGCCTTTAGAAGACAGTTGGAGGAGAATGAAAAGAGGGAGAAGGAGAGGAAGATACAAGAGATGGTGAGAGTGATGGAGATATGCAGACAGGAGGAGGAGAAGAGGGAAGTGCTTCACGAAAAGCTTAACAAAGTTACTAAAATGCTGGAGGAGCAGGCCGAGTGCGAGGAGAGAACAATAAGAGCAATGGAGGAGAAGATGCAAATGGACAGAGCGGAAAACCAGAGGAAAGAGAGAGAGAAGGAACTTCAGCAAATACAGAAAGAGCAGGCCATCAGGCAGAGGGAGGAGATGAAGAGAGAAGCTTTGCAGAAAGAGCTGGATAAACTCTTGGAGGAGCAGAGCAGGAAGGAGGAGGAGAGGAAAAAGCAAATGGAGGACATGCTCAGGCATGAGAGGGATGAGAATCAGAGAGAAAGAGACATACAAATGGAGAACCAGAGAGCAGAGAAAAGGAGAACAGAGGCTCTGAGGCAGGAGCTAAAAGTCCTCAAAATGAAGATGGAGCAACAGAAAGCAAGAGAGGAAAGCCTCGAGAGGCAGCTGGAGGACAACCAACGCAGGGGGAGAGAGAAGTGCAACAAAGAAATCACAATGTTGAAAAAGCAGTGCGACAGGAAGTGTTCAGAGACAACCAAGATGAGATCTGCAGAGAAACACAGCACAGTGACAACTGTGTCCGGATATGCGCAAGAGATGGGACTGGTGGTGCTGAATGCAGCTTTAGAAAGTATTGGAGCTCCCTGTTGTATACAGTAACAGCGAGAACAGTCTATTTATTATTTTACACTTACTGTATGTCAGGACAAATAAACTCGTTATAACTGTGTCTCTTTCATGCACGTTTGGGCTGTGACCTTAATTACAAGTCATTTTTCAGGAACGTAATGGCACAATATGTTGTGACTTTTAAATTATCATTATTATTAGATACAACCATTAACTCACAGTTAGGAAAAGAAGGGAAATGAATGCCCATGTGAAAGCAATTTCATTTCAACAAATGGATGTAATTCCAGTGTGTCCTAAATCAGCAAATGCACAAAAATAGTACAAATTCTCAAAAATGATGGAGATAATCTGATTATCAGATCCCGCCCTCTGCTTCGGACTATCTGTCTCTGTCTCCATCAGCTAAATCTGTATTCAAACAAAACCCTGATGCCATTAATAAAGATCAAATATTGCTTGAGTGCTATTTCAGCATTCCTCACTGATGCTCCAACTTCAGCAGCGCCATCTGGTTCTGTCCCTGGCCAGAAAGTCTGCTTTTATCTACAGAAATGTCTTTTGTGTGTGTGTGTGTGTGTGTGTGTGTGTGTGTGTGTGTGTGTGTGTGTGTGTGTGTGTGTGTGAGAGAGAGAGAGAGAGAGTTCCGGAAGCAGGGGTATTAAATTTAGAGTGCAGTATCATGGCAGTATGTTGTTTGAACAATACTGCCTAAAGGCAGCAGGTAGAGGAGGGGCGACGCGGTCATATTACAATTCACTGTATCAGGTTAAACAAAACTTAAAGGAAAAGTTTGTCAATCTGGAAAATATGCGTAAAGACTGGAAACAGGGGGAAACAGCTAGCCTGGCTCTGTCCAAAGGGTGGTTTGTGGTGTACCACTACCTGTCTTGTAAGACTCTGTGACGACAAGTCTCCAGGAAGTTATTGCTTCTAGTCTGTCACTTCACCCCCCATATGAACATATTAATGGATTAAACAAACAAGATATAGTGTGATCTGTCCAGCTGCTGATAGGCTGATTTTGTTACTTGTTTGCAAACAGTTGCTTGAATACATCCAGCAGCTATGGAACAAAATTATCATTAATCTAGAGTCGTGTGCTGGCTACAAGGTAAATGCAATATTCACTCCCTCATGGCTCTGTTTTAAGACTCTACCAACTCCTGAGGGAAACATTAATTTACTTTGGTTCAATTGTATTTATATAGCACTGAATCATAACATACATTATCTTAAGGCACTTTATAGAGTAAGGTCAAGACCTTACAATATTATAGACCCAACCCAACAGTTCCGACCATGAGCAAACACATGGCGACTGTGGAGAGGAAAAACTCCCTTTTAACAGGAAGAAACCTCTGACAGAACTGCCTCATGGTGGGCGGCCGTCTGCCTCGACCGGTCAGGTTCAGAGGAGAGAAATAGGGGATGGATAAGAATGAGTGCAGAGAAGGGGAGAGAGAGATCTGAACAGCTGTATATAGCCTATTGTCGTATTGAATCACTGTCAGACTGGTTGTTAAGATAACACCATTTAGTCACTAATTGTGTGTCTGCTGATTGTTGCTTAGCAGGTGGTTTACACTGAGATTTTAAAGCTTTTTTTTTCCTGAAAAAAGAGCTTCCTGCTGTGGCAAAACAAGATGGTGCAGTAAGAGTGAACCCAAACAGTAAAGTTGCAGGCAAGACAGTTAAACAATAAGCTAAAATTTGCTATAACATGACATTAGCTCCGGTAAATAGAGGGAGACCCTACAGCTATTCATTAGGTGCTAGGATAGGAGGGTCGTTGAGCTCGTTTTATACGCTTTTGAACATATCCATATTTTTTAGGAGGAATGGAAAGTGCATTAGCAACAAATGCTCTTGTAAGAAGGAGTGCTCTATTTGAAGAAAAGCGTTTCCAAGAATCTGGAGAAAATCATCATGTCTGCTATCTCCGAGAACCTCAGTCTTCAGAAGATAGTCAAGAAGCACTATCTGTCGCTTGCCATCATTGCAGAGTGTCAGGTGACATAGTCTGGATTGATGAAACTAAAGAAAATCTACAGGAGGTGTGATTATGAAAATATTGGATTGATCTAGAAAAACATATTGCGTATTAAGAGTGTTAACAATTCATTTTTATAGTTGAAAAATGTAGTATGTAATATTATAGCAGTAATGATTCAAATTCTTATTGTGCTTTGTATTTGTAACTGTTTCCCCATCAACTCTTGTTTTGTGTTAGTTCTACTCCCAGTGGCTTGTGCTGTGGGCATTAACAAAGTGTATGGAAGAGACTGTGTCACTACAGAGCCTGCCTATATGCTGGTGTCAAGGTCTGTGGCACCAATGCAGAAGATTTTGCCTCCCAGGTATGAACAGGTTGTCTGACTGGTTTTGAACTGTTTTACCACCATCATATACATGGAGCGCAGACAGAGCTTATATTCAATAATAAATGAGCAACATTAATTTATTAAAAACTATTTTACTACTTTTGATTTGCTCATACATTTATTTGAGTCTAACCAGCTGCAGCTGAAAACGCTGAGAGTGGTGAAAGTGAACAAGAACAGTGGGCTGAGCAGCTAAACAGTGAGCAGAAACTCACTTTATCCTCCATAATACTTAACATAGCTGTATATTCAGGTGCTAATTCTCTGGAGGTTCATCACTACGAGTGACAGTGTCACACTGTTTTCAGTAGTGGACAGACAAACGTGGAGAGAGGAGGGGGATGACATGCAACAAAGGCCCTAAATTAATCACTTGAGTTTCATATGCACAGGAAAAGAAATTGTGTTAAAAATATTGTTTCATTTAGTGCCTGTTAGTCCAGTGGTAAAGAAGCATAACATAAAACTTCAATGTCCCTGAATTGATTCTGACTCGGGACCTTTGCAAATAATTTCCCTCTCCCCATATTTCCTTTCTGTATCTACACTGTAAGGCCCAATAAAGACCAAAATAAATGGCGAGTAGATCAATGAATAAAAAAATTACTTCAAGGCCTCACACAATTTACACTCCAGGACATTGTTGTGTGATTGTTCACACAACCAGAATGAAGGACACTAATTACAAATCCTCAAATGTCTCCTTTGCAGTGGGAGTTCCAGGTTGGCCCGTGTGAGGGGGCTGAAATGGGGGATCAACTGTGGATGGCCTGCTACATTCTGCACCGCGTCTGTGAAGACTTTGGGGTTGTTGCCTCCTTGGATGTTAAACCCATTAAGGGAAACATTTACACATCAGGCTGTCACATCAACTTCAGCACCAAGGAGATGAGGAGCGAAGGGGGACTTAAGTATGTTTCAGAACATGGAGTCTCTCTCTCTCTCTCTCTCTCTCTCTCTCTCTCACACACACACACACACACACACACACACACACACACACACACACACACACACACACACACACACACACACACACACGATCCACATGGTGGTGCTGACACAATATTGTTCGCCTCACGGGTCAGAGCACTACCTGCACTTTCCATGACTTCTCTACAGCCCACCCCCTCGTAATGTTAGTGTTCGCATCCCTGGCCATGTCAGCCTCATGGGCTGCGGGTACCTTGAGGACAGACGTCCTGCTGCCAACTGCGACCCCTACACCGTGATGAGGGCCCTGGTTGAAACCTGTCTGCTGGGAGCCACTGGGGAAGATGATGATGAGGAGGAGGACAAGGAGACCACGCCTGCCTGTAAAGGGCGAAAAGGCATCTAAAACACCACAAAGTGCAACAATGTATTACACACTTTGCATGTAGTTAAGTACCCTTGTGAGATTTTAAAGAAATCTCACAAATTTGCAAGTTCAAATCCAGAAAGTTTTTGTTGCATGAATGAAGTAAAATAATTGAAAATAAAATAAACTATAAATCAAGCTAACATCAGGCCTGTTTTTTTTCTGCAAACTCATTAAGTCTAGTCAAGTTTATTTGTATCGAAAACAACTCAAGAATACAAAGTAAAAGCAAATACACGTGCCTTACTACATCTGTATTTCTGGCAGTAATCCTGATGAACTCTTGCAGAAGTAACAGATTTAGTAGCAATGGAGCAAGCAGCTTATGGCCTCCAACAAAATCACACTGGACAATATGAATTGTGCACACATATAAATACATACTATAATCAATAACAAGAGCTGTGGCATATTATGTGCTCAAGAAAGAAGGATAGGTCTATAATTTAATAAGACCTTCTCCTCCTTGGATGGCTGGTGAAATTAACAGAAAATTGCAAAGTTAGGAATACAAAATACTGACAAGCAGATTAAAATGCAACAATAGCATTATCATAAGTCCAATACCTGGTCCCGTACAGAAAAGATAAGTTCAAGGAATGAGTCAAATGAAATAAAGACAGGTCTTTTGTCAGACACTACACAGCCTGTGGCATTTATATGTAGTTTATTGTAGATAAATATCAGGGTAGATGGGTTTGTGTTTGCTCTACCTTGTTTCATCTTACTTTGTAGTGTTTCCCTTAAATAAGTAAGTATCATCTGTTTTATTTGTTTATTTCACTCTTTTTTCTTCTATTGTTGGGTATTTCTTTTTCAGTACCCCTATTTAACTTTTTTATTTCATTACAGTTCTGAAATGTAAAGCACCTTGTAACTTTGTTGTGAAAGATCCAGTATTCATAAAAATGACTCATTATTATTCTTTGATGTGGCAGTGTTTTTACAGCACTTTCTCACTTTTAGCAAGTCAATCCTAAATTACAATGGAGCCACTAATGGCGTGTCTTTTCCCGTGCAGAGTGGGAATCAGGACAAGTGGGACAAAAACATTGGGATGAGAGAGGGGACATAAAACAGTAATGCAGAGTGAAAGTAAATTAATACAGACATCATGGCTTGACACGGTTGTCTCCTCTCTGATGGGAAACTTCTCTCTGCCCTGTGCGTCTCTGCGCTGTGTTGTCAGCCGTGAGTAGCAGCTGGTGGTGCATGTGGTCCCCAGTAAATCTGCTCTGCACTCAGAGCAGTAGCACGGAGCAGTCAGGACGCGCGGTCCACGCTCCCGGTGACTATTTTGCCCCTCGTCTTTTTGGAGTTCATGGCAGGAGTACGTAACAATCTCGTCCTTGCAATTTGACTTATGGCCGAGCCCAGGACCAGGCGATGAATAACACAACCGGCTTGGCACTGTTAGGAGCTGGCAGCCGGGAGGAGTTACCGGCACACCGAGCTCTAACGGGCTGTGTCCTGGCGCTGCTTATCATTTGGACGCTTTTAGGCAACTTCACGGTATGCGCAGCCGTTTATCGCTACCGGCACCTGCGCGCCAAAGTAACCAACATCTTCATCGTGTCCCTGGCTCTGTCAGACCTCCTGGTCGCCGTGCTCGTGATGCCGTGGAAGGCTGTGGCTGAGGTGGCCGGTTTCTGGCCGTTTGGCGGGTTCTGTAAGACCTGGCTGGCCTGCGACATCATGTGCTCCACGGCCTCCATCCTCAACCTGTGCGTCATAAGTGTGGACAGATACTGGGCCATCTCCAGCCCTTTCCGCTACGAGAGGAGCATGAACAAGAAAGTGGCTTCTGTTATGATCGGCGTGACCTGGACGGTGTCCGTTGTCATCTCCTTCGTTCCCGTGCAGCTGAACTGGCACAGGGCGGAGATCGGTGAACCAGGTGGGGAAGATTTGGCGCTTCACGGTGAGAGCATTGATGGGAGCTGTGACTCCAGCCTGAGCCGCACGTACGCCATCTCCTCCTCCCTCATCAGCTTCTACATCCCCGTGGCCATCATGATTGTCACATACACCCGCATCTACCGGATAGCCCAGATGCAGATCCGCATGATATCCTCCCTGGAGCGTGCGGCGGAGCACGCGCAGAGTTGTAGGTCGAATGTAAGCCCTGAACTAGTATTTCCTCACCTGTGCACGGAAATCAGTGCCAACTCATATCAGTCTCATATCAGTCTACATTCAGTTTCTCAACGCACTAATCAGTCACACCGGGAGCTCAAAGTCTCCATCAGAAAAGAGACAAAAGTCCTCAAAACTCTGAGCATCATCATGGGTGTTTTTGTCTGCTGCTGGTTGCCATTCTTTATCCTGAACTGCGCTCTGCCCTTCTGCCCTGGACCAGGGGTACCGGGGGCACAGCGGGGCCCTCACTGCGTCAGTGAAAAAACCTTTGATGTCTTTGTATGGATCGGTTGGAGCAATTCATCTCTCAACCCGGTCATCTATGCGTTTAACGCGGATTTTAGAGACGCCTTTCTGCGCCTGTTGCGCTGCCGCGGACGAGGCTGCTGGGCGGCTGTGAGCGCAGCGGTGGAGACAGTGATGGCGAGCAACGAAGCCGGGAACCTGAAGCAGGAGAGCCCGCTGAATGTAACGCTGGGCGTCTCCTGCGCCACGAACACCAGGGGAAGTCAGGACAGCGGGAACACCACGGTGACTGTGTGTTACCACAGAGGGACAACCTCGGAGCAGGTGACGGACACCGAGGAAAGCAACGACAAGGACAGACTGACGCAGATACCGATATGAGGGGTCAGGGAGCCGGTCAAATATGCAAAGAAGGTGGATGGTGTGCACATCCAACCCCAAGTGTAGTTGTGGGACAAACAAAAAAGCCAATACAGACAAAAATGACAACTCCACCTTGGGTCTCCTGACAGAAACAGCTATTATTCATATTTTACAATGCATATGAAAAACACATAATGTCCTTTTTTTTCTTGAGGATGTGTTTTCATGAATTTGGGGTAATTGTAGGTGGAGTTGTCACTTCCTATTTATCTATAGGCTTTTTATAGATTCATTTTTGTTTATACCCAACAAAGATTTTATGGGTTGTGGGTCATAAAATTTATTGCCAGACTGAAAATTTCAGTGAGGACTACCTCTCTTTTTTCTTAAGATGGACAGATGAGATCTGGGTAAATATAGTGAGACCCTACAGCAAGATTAAGCAAGGAGTGTTGTTCAGCAGGATTTACAATTATTTTTCTGTAGCCTCAGTTAAATCAAGTGGAAAAGCAACTTCATTATTCCTGTATGTGTTACTTATTTGAGAAGCAGTCACATATGACAAAAAGGAGTAAGGCAGATGCCTGTATGGGCTTCAAGCAAGATGGGGCAGGTGTATAGTTTTCTTACTCTGTGTTAGATTAGAATAGATGTTGTACATGGATGATAAAACACCTTAAATTCACATTGCTGAAGTAATTTCAGGAAAATTCTCAGATGAAATTTATCAGCAAACAAGTGAAATTATCTCACCCACTTTTACATGAAAAACACGGAATGTTAGATCTACCAGGGACAGGGTTTTGCAGTATATGGCCATTCAAGGCCACGTCGTTGGCTTTGCTCACTCTCTCTTTCCCCATCATGAAGAGAGAGTTACCAGAGGTCAGGATTTCTCTGAATCTCTAGAAATGGGATTATGTAAGTAACTCACATTAGCACCCGTCAGCTGTGCATCTTGGTGAATGCAGTGTGCACTCTGTTTCCCCCCTCTATCTCCTGAAAGAAACAAACATGAATAATTTGTAAAGGTTGTTCCTGTGAAAGATGCCCTGACCAGTGAGAACACAGAAGCTTTTATGGTGACAACCCTCAAAAATACAGGATGTGATTATTGTCTATGCAGTGACGCTGACGCAGCTTCATATCCTGCTCCGTGATGAACTTTCTACAGATTAACATCTGATCATTGTTGTTTAATGAGACTTCCTTGTTAGTGTTAAAAATGAAAGCGTGTGTTATAACCTCAAGGAGCCATGAGCCTTAATGGAGTCAACAACAATTATGAGCTTATCCTGAGCTGCAAATATTTTGTTGGAGTTGATTGAGATTGATTATATTAAGATTGAGAGAAATAGTTCTGTTGGTAAATACACTTATTTGCATTTTTGTTGAGAGTTAGATGAGCAGACTGATGTCCCTCTCATGCCTATACGCTAAATATGAAGCTACAACCAGCAGCTGGCTCTGTCTGAAAGTAAGGAAATAGTTTGACACATAACCTCCAGTAACACAAGAAATTACCATTTTTTACACTTTGGTTTTCATACAAATGAGATACAACTTGCTAATTATGATCTGTAGGCAGATTTTGTTACCTTTGGACTGAACAAGCTAGCTGTTGTAGCTGTTAAGCTAAGCAGCTACTGGCTGTAGCTTCACTTTTAAAAAGGTGCTATATGTAAGTTTTTTGTATCGCTGCATAGCCAATGTTAACATTAACAGCAGCTGTAAACTCACCAGTCTAGAAAACGTTGCAATTATCCTCAAACTTAATTTCTTTACCCACCAGAACTGTCTCCACTGTCGGAAAGCAGCACCAATGCTAACTTTTATCTCTTCTTATCTCTCTTCTGTACTTGTACTGACGTTAGCATGCTAACCAGCCCTAGCCTGTCCCATCGTAGCCTATTGAGTCACGAGCATCCAGTCTGTTCTCAGTTCAGCATGAGCGGATGAAGGGATAGTACTGATCACAGGACGTATTCTAACCTCTTATCTTGTCAATTCAACAACGGTTGAAGCTCTTGGCTAGCAACCATCACCATGCAGCAGAGAAAACTGACATATGGCACCTTTAAAGCAATACTTTGACATTTTCTAAAGTACACTTATTTGCTTTAATACCAAGAGTCAAGTTAGAATTATACTTGCCTAGGCTACACCTAAGCAAACATGCAGAGGGGTCGTTTGCATATGTTTGCGTCGCTGCTTCTTTTAACACAAATTACATACAATTAGTTGCTTTAGATTTGTTTTTCGTCTATGTTTAGAACCCACCTCCTTCCGACAGTTTAATCAAACAATCAGCTTGCTTAACATGCAGGTCTGCAGAGTGTGTTGATGAGATTTGGGAAGTGTGTGTTGGCCCCTCTGCGAGCCACCACTGTTATCCGTAACACACTGCGCAGGTTCACAGAGATATTTACATGTATTTTTGGAGAAGCATAATTACAGCTTTAGTTGAGAAGCCTGATACCAATATCATGTCTGTACAATAATTACAACAATTAGCTTAGCATAAAGACTGGAAGCAGGGAGAAATAGCTATCAAGGCTCTGTCCAAAGGTAACAAAATCCACCCAACTCATTATATCATTTTTGGCTTTACAGGGGATTAGGTGCAAAGCTTTTGAGAGCACTTGCTAAGAAACCAGCAGACTCCAGGAAATTATTTTTTTCACTTGGGTTTTTGAAGCAATTAAATGAGCCAACTATTACTTGTTAATTGGGAAACTTTAGTAGTTCTTTAGTAGTTTTTTGTTACCATCCAACTCTTGGCAATAAAGCAAATAATTGTATTTCCCAAAATGTCAAACTATTTCCTTAAATTACACATATTATGGATCAGTGCAGCAACAAATAAAAAGTCATATTTTTTATTTTTACTCAAAACATATACAGTTAACAAATGTATGATCTGTATTAGGCACCAGTGATAACATGTTTGTGTCTGTGTTTATTCTGATTATGCAAGAGCAGAAAGACACAGAGATGGTACAGTATACTGTACAATTGTTTCCAGATGGGAAGTGTGTGTGCAGCCTTATGGTATTCGCTGTGTAATGGGCTTGTAACCTACATAGAACATCCATCGGCTGTAGGCGTCTCCAACTGTATGTAAGAATAGTCACCATACCAAAGAAGATTAATAAAACAGAGGTCAAATGAATTTTTAAAAGCGTGTCTCCCATTTACAGAAGTTGCATGTAGGTTACTGAGTGAGAAAAGTCATTACAGGCCTGACTGAAGCGCAGTTCAGAGAGAAAGTGTGCAGGGGTCTTTTCTCTGAGGAATGAAAAAGTGATTACACCTATTAATATTGACTGACTAATGACTGCCTTTATTTCATTCTGTTTCCATCTCATTCTCATGTGGTCCAAAAGGAGCTCACTGCATTAATGTGCCTCCCAGGGTAGTTGTGTCCACCTGGGGATGCTTTAATGGGCTACATCTACCCACCTTGAATGTGCGAGAGTCAAATGAGCCCTCGATGCCGCAGGTAAGACATACAGATTGAGAAGGAGTTTCAGAAAGAGGTGAGAAGAATCAGTTATCAGCAGCCTATTAACTATCATGCATTGGCCAATGGACAAGATCACAGACAGTGTCTTGTGACCCCTCCTCACAGGTTACTCTAGTTGTCTCACTTGAAAACCTGTTACAAGGCTAAAGAGATCAAACTCAGATTTCACAAAAAAGCAAATCAATGTCCAAAAAATGAATACAATTTTTTGTAGCAGAATAATGTATTTTCTTTTACCATGAATCATCTTGTGACGATCTCGTAGACCCACTGGAATTTGGAAAGCACTGCTTTTAGGATCTATAATTTTACTGAACACATATAAAGGTTGTTTAAAGAACACATATCCTTGCAAGCATCATAATGGATGTAGTGTCCCTTTATATGTCATACACATAGATATTGGCTAATGGATTTGCTTTACCTCACACAGACTGTCTTTTCTCCTTTGATCCAGTTTGTGAAGTCTTTCCATGTGAAAGACCTAATCCTCTCTGGTCTCTTTGGGGACATGGGATCAGGTTGTTGCTGCGTTTCCTGCAATAATCCTGGTTCTCCAGAGGGAGACGTCCCCGGTCTCAGCATTACTGGAGATATATGAAGAACATTTTACACAGATTTAGTCCTCTTATATAAATGATGAAATCCTTTATGTTTAAGAACGGTCAGAGCATGTCTGAAAACTGAACACTTTGTGTTTGTATGTTTTATTTATGAGTGTGTGTATTTAAGTCAATGAATCTGAATTATTTCTGGCAGAAAAATGAATTAGGTCAGATAAGATGAGCAAACCGGACAAGACTGAGAAAGGAAAAAGGAGAGGCGGGGGGGAGGGAGGGAGAGAGTGTCTGTGTGTGTGTGTGTGTTCGAGAGAGTGTGAACTATAAAAGACGACAGAAGATACATGAGAATTCAAGAGAGAAATATGGAGATTTTTAGGGTCAGGGGAAATGCAGGTTCATAAAAAGGTTACAGCTAAACCAAAAATAAGACAAAAACAGTTACACAATAATTAACCTCTTCAAACCCAGTGTCTACTTTAATGGTCATCAATATTCATTGCTCTCATCCACTAAAACTGCAATGTTTAAAATTCGACTCCGCAGAGAAACTTAGTGGCCTAGATTTAACCAATAAATGTCATATATGTATGAATATTAATTTACAGGTTATACATGCATACCTTACTTTCTTGTTTCTTGAATCTTAAAAACACAGGATATCAGGTCTTTTTCTTCCAATAGTCATTTTAGAATGTATCAAGTTAATAATCACTTTATCAAGTTAATTTAATAATATTTTACTTATATAGTATAAAGCTACAGAGGTTATTGGTTATGTAGCACATTAACAACCATATCCACTACATTTGAGATACCTCCAAATGAAGTTGCTGAACATCTAAACCATATAAGTATTATGTAATGCAGCACACTGAGATGTTTGACCTGATTGAGGACATGTCCAACATACACTATACTTTGGTTTTCAAGAGACTCTTGGCTTGGCAGACATCAGAACTCTAACTGACCTTAAAACAGCTATAAAATACAAATATAGAGACAAATCAGTCAAAGTTATGTTGTTTTCTAAATAATTCTAAAACAACACATTGTAGGCCTACATATATCCATTTTATATTAACATATTACAACTTATTAAAACAACCATTATTGGGAAAATCCATTGCAAAGTTTATAATAGTTAATACTGTCCATTGTAGAAAGTTAAAATTTTTGTTTTAACCTTGTTTCTACATGGGGTAAGACAAAGAAAAAACTGAATGGAAAAAAGTAGCTCTGAAAAAAAGATATGGTGAAACACATGAAAGGGCAGGAAAAAGCCAGAGTTAATTATCCCAATTATTTATTAATAAGAAGTGAAAATTTCCTTCAGATAGCCACATGTGGTCGGTGCTGCTGGGAGAGCACAGCTGGCTGCTGGTTTTCATTCCTGCTGCTGCGTGAAGCAGCTGAATTATTAGTGCGAGGAGGCGTCAGAAAGCCTGCCACTCCGCTCTCACAGTGTCCCTTTACCCCCTAAAAATAGATCAGAGAGATAGAGCGAGAGAGACAGAGAGGAAAAGAGTTGTCATGGTTTGTGCTTTACTGGTCAGAAAACAATCCTGTTACGTTCGAGAGGACAGTGAAATCTAGTGGTAGTGATCAGATATTACATGCAAGTTGTATTACAGGATTTATTTAATAAAGTTCAATAACACAAAAACCTGTGTTGGTGCAAGTGCACCTTTTGAGAAAACAAAACTATAAAGAACCTGTACAACCTTTTCCATATAAAACAGTTTCTCAGTCAAAGAGTTTAAGAGTGCCTGCTTGTTCACAGGTCATACATAAACCAAAAATAAATTGCTCATGGGAAAGTGCAAGGAATGTCAGTTTTGGTTTTGTAAACAATTATTGCTTGGTGAGTCTTCCTCAGGCTGAGATTCAGGAGGTTTATCCATGATGATGTTGTAGCTGTGTGACCATTGAGCAACGCCCGCCCTTGTCTTTTGCACATGCACTTCACAAAGGTCAAGTATGTGGTGTGGACTGCCTGACAAATGCATTACCTGGGTATGTCTTCACATAGGTCAGGATGAAAGAAAAACGGGGCAGGGCTGATCAAGGTGGGTTCAATTACAGTAGAAAAGCAATGGTAAAATAAAAAAAATCAATCCTTTCATTTAATGGGCCAAAACTAGTTTCAGTAGTTAACTACACAAAAATGGCAAAAAAAGTAATTTAACTGCATGACTCCCTATGCACATACAAATGTAACTGAACTACAAGCAGGCTACTGCAAAATGTAGTTAAAATACTCATTTCATTACATGTAGTTCATTACTCCACGACACAGGAAACAGCAGCATCCCATCAAGGACAGTCCAAAATCTGGCAACAGTAAAAAAAATAACATGCTGAAGTTGAGGTTAATGACCACTGGCAGGCACTTACAGTGTTCAGGACTTGCTGTCAGCCTGGCTTAAACTGCAAAATTTGCTCACAAGTATTGTGTGAGCATAACTTCCTCTGTCAATTGAATAAAGATCCTTTTTTCACGTGCAAAGAAGACATCGTTCAACCCAGGACAGAATTTAACATGGGGGTTACAATTTTGTATATAATAGAGGTGAAACAAATGATAAAATATTTTTAAAAATTTGAATTTTGTTCAGGTTTTCTTGTTTTCTAGCACACTCGTGAACTCATCTTTATTGATGAAGAAGGATCTGTTACCAAAAGAAAGACAAGGGAGAGGAACATCTATGACCAAGACCCCTACAACTCCGTTCACCTCTTCAGGCCATGGAGGAAACTTGTTCAGATATTAAAGTGATTATGGTGACAGATATTGAGCGTGTATAAAGCACACAAGGGTTTGTTTCCCCCACTACCTGACTATTGTTCATTGTTGCAACTAATTGTTAGTAAAACAAAACCTAATAACATCTGTTTTCTAATGCAGAGCTGTTTACTTCTTTACTACTTAAGCCAAATATAAAATCTTAAGAGGGGCAGGATCGTTGGTATTGTTACCGTTACTATGTCAACAAACTTACAGACCGTTACAGACTTAGGTTGTGTAAGCGATCGACACTGCCACGAGATGTTGCACTCAACCCTCCCTCCCTTCACGTACTCAGTCAGCAAGATGTTACTAAGCACAGTGAAAACAACCACTAAACACACATAAAGTCACACAAGACTGAATAAAGTTTCCCTGTGTACACGAGAGTCAACAAAAACAATCTAGCCACAACATTAGCCCACGCTAGCATTGCCATGATAAACTCCAGTAAGCCAGCCAGCGATTGCAGCATTTGCCAGACACATTCATAATATTGCTAACAGCAAAGTTAGCTAACGTTTGCAAGCCTTCTGTAGCCGGTCACTAATGAAAACAGACATGTAAAATGATGAAGCCACCAAGTTACTTACACAATGAGGAGAAGAAAAGCCAGTTCCGAGTCAAACTGGAGCTCTTCAGCAGCTTGAGGGGCTCTCCAAATCGGTGTTAGCGTCCCAGCTTTTCCCTTTAAGGACAGGTGCCTTGTGGGTAACCTGTGTGTGAAGTGTCATGAGAAGTAGGCCCAATCTCAATGTCCCGCCTAAACCCTAAGCCCTGAACCCTGAACCCTCACAGACTTAATTGACGTCACCTGCTGACTGATTGACTGTGAGAGGCTGCAAGGGCTCACAATGGTATAAAGAGTTACGGGATAGTACTTATATCAGTTACCTTAATGATGCCAAAACATATGCATTCAATTGTGGGTTTGGGACTTTTTTATTCCTTCCCTTTGCTCCCTGTTTGTTGGGTCAGAACTGATCCAATTTAGATATTTGGAATTCATCATCATGTCATCATAGGACAAATAACTGCAGCCCAATACCAATGTTCTGGTTCTGGCTCTGAATCACCAGTGAGCTCTGTGTTTATACTGTCATATACTGTCTTGTAATGCTAACATTAGGCTTCGTTCCTTTCATGCTTGTTTGTTAACCGTTCTTCTATCTTATTATTTCTTGCGTTTTATGGCAATTGTTTGCCATTTCTCAAAGCTACAAACTTGGGTAATTCCTTCAGGCAAAGTCTGCAGAAATGCAGACTTACGTAAAGTACACATAAAGGGCTCAAAGTGTCTGCTGGAGAACCCTCATGACCTCAATTGTTTGTCAGTGGGACAGCACTAAGCCCTTATGAACTTACCAGGAACACACCTTCAAGTTTGTGAGTCTGTGAGGGTGGACATTGGTATTGGACTGTAGATCTCTCACTTGTGTCTGAGTGAAGGTAGGCCACAGTATACTATTGCAGCCGCAATAAAACTACATGCCACAGGTAGTCAGAGAAAAGTATCTAGATAAGCTTAGGATAGCGGCAGTGGTGTGTGCACTTTTACAGAATCCAGGTTACTATGATATAGTAGCAGAAGACATGTCTCTGTGGCATGTTCTCAACAATTTCCCATTGGAGCACTGGAACCTGGCGGCCATCCTCTTCTACCACACTGACAACTGTTTTCTACGTCTGTGCAGACGTGCTTCAGGGTAACTTAGTTGTAAAACTTAATCAATACATATAAGGTAGAGAATATAACAAAAATACATACATTCATCCAGCAATATCCAATGAGATACAACGTTGGCTCGTGCTGCAACAGACGGCCAGCTATTCCCATTGTATATATCCATGGAGACGGAAAGTCTACTAGAAACTTATGGACCCAATTCAAAAGGACAAAAAACACATGTAGCAAGAGGGAAATGGAGATAATAAAGAGTTTTTCATCATCATGGATGGATGTGAATATCATTCTGGATTGGTGCTTGGGGCCATTCATGTCTAATGAAAAATTTTATTACATTTTCTGAAAAATGTGTACTGTATTGAAATTTATCACAAATACGGATGAACTTTGAATTATAAAATGGGTAAGAAGCTGAAACTGGTGAATATATTAATGATAGATGCAACAATATCAGCAAGAATGAAATGCTGTTGTAATCAAGGTAGCATTTGAAAAGTGCATTATGTTTTATTTTGCCTTTTCAAAAGTGGAATTTGAACCAGGTGCCATCACATTCAGAGTAATAAACAATGAACATGCAGCCATGGGTTCTGTCAGTCAACAGAGCAAATGCTACATGGTAAACTAATCCTGTTTGTATGTGTCTGCACTACTGTATAGGAGAAGGTGGATATTTCCCCCCTGTTCAGTGAGGAGACCTGCCGTCCTTGGACTTGGACAGACTGGCAAGGTCACAAGGCTGGAGTGCATCCAAAGAGATGAGTGAGGCTGCTCCTTTACTGTTCTACTGCTGAGAGGTTTATTTGAACATGCAGTTTATACTACACTAGTTTACATCACAACAATCCCAGTTGTAGCCTTTTAGATGCCAGTTCAGATTTATTTGTGTATTCTTTATTACAGCATGTTACAGATGATGATCCATGTGCTTCTGCTTTTGTGTTTGATCATAAAGAACAGGCCTGATATTACAGTAAAAGTGTCATTTGTAATTAAGATGCACAACAGCAGGTGGCGTCATAGAACTGCATAGGCATTGTTAAAGGATTTTTTTTTCTTTTTCTATGTGGTTTTGAGGATCTTTATACCTCTAATACAGACAATAGAAAGATGGTATGAAATGAAGGAGACAGAGATGTAACAAAGCTGGTTTCTTGTCGGATGTGGACCAGGGAGTTGCAGTTCCTGGTCACCATCTTAACCTCTAACCTCTGGAGGGACTGTTTGTTGAAAGGTATTTTAGCTGAGAGTGTATTTATTTCCTGCATGTGCATTTGCAGCTGCTCAGAACCACAAGCTTTGGCATCCTCTTTCAGGACCCCCACCTCAGAACTGTGGCTGTCTGTCTGACCTTTGATCTGTGGTGTCCTGTGTGCCTGAGTGACCCACAAAGATCTTAACTCTGCTGGGCACACCTTCAGTTTCATAGTGAGGCTGGTTTAGAGCTGGTTTCCTGAAAAATGTTAATAATTTTGGGCATAAATTTACATATAATTGTCAACCAATCCCAGTAAAAGACCAAATGAGCAATGCATTACAATGCAAACTTTCCCACTCTGTCTGTGACTACAATTTGTTCCAAATGAAGATGTCATTTTTTAATAACAGTATATACAATAGGATACAGTACATCAATATATACATAGTTGTTTATTAATAAAAAGCAAAATAATTTCCATTTTCCTTTTTGGAAATGTTACTTAAACACAATCAAATAGTGCATTTGTTTGGGACTTTCAGCTGCGGATTAATACACATGTATGTCAGATGAAGGAACATGTCAGTCAATAAGACAGTGGACCTTATTGATGTGTTTTTAGTAGGTTTAGTAGGACAGTGGTACACAGGAGTAAAGTATATCATGCTTTGGGTACAGAGATAATACTTGCTGTCTAATCAATTCATTCATTGTCTTTTTTTTTTCAAGGGGTTTATTGACAATAAGGAGCACAGAATACGACCAGAGTTACATAGAAATATATAAATAGCTGTTGCCTCCATGATAGATATCTAACTTACAGAGTATCACCTTACAACAAATGTTTAGGTAATATGACTGTTTTTGTTGGTATAATCAGTAAATTGCTGGGTTTGGTCTTTTTGTAGATGGGTAGAAAAATATAGAATATCATCAGACTTAAACTTTAATATAGTGGGACTAGACAAAGCTGGTCTTACACTTACTGTATGTGCATGCTCCAAAATTGCTCACAAATACTAAGTGTGGAAGAGCATATAGGATTAGCCAAAGTCTTCGATCAGTGACAGAAAAGGGGAAAGTTGAGGATGAAGATAAATTTCACAAAGTACAGTGCCATATTCTCCATTTATAAGAATAATGGAAGATTTCTGTTGTGCTTCAAAACTTTATTAATCCTTCTCCTCAGTATGTCATGGGGGAACATTTCTGACATGGACCTCTTAGTGTGACAAAAAAGGCAAAGGTGAGAAGTGTGAGGTAAATATTGTGTTTAATAAACAAACATCAGTCAGGGAACTGACATTAGTCTGGGGATGGAGAAGGGGGGGGAATATAAAGCACAATGCACATGTGTAGAGGTGGGGGGAACATATTTATCTGTTACACAAGGTGCCCCCCGTACAGTAGGAGCAGGAAGTTCTATATAACATACAGATCAGGATCCAAGTCTACGGTACAAAAACTTAGCAGCAACATGTTAACATCGGAGACCAAGGGGCTAACAAAGTAGTTTCATTTAGAAAAAGTCACAGTATTCTTAAAGCATAAATTTGTTAAAAAGGTAAAAACAGTTCTAAGCATCCTCTAGGGTCAATGCTACTCACAAGATCTGTGTGTGAAATACATAGGTAGGGAAATTATCTATACATTTATACTCTAATATAAAGACCTTCTGGTAATGGCACAGTACAAACTCTCAGGAAACGCGACAAAAATATACAATGTCTTCACGTCACATTTGCAGATTAAAATGTAACTAAGGTCTCTGGCAAGCACAATAGTTTCAGTGATCAAAAAACAACTTCTCTTCAACCAAAATAAAGGACACCATTTTGTTAGTTCAGCTATCTTGACAGATTATGCCTTTTTAATACAAAAATAAGGACAAATATAAATTAATATATATTAAAAGAATCAGATTGATACATGGGGGATCTACTGAATAAGCACAGGTATTTATGATACAATAAATACTTGTCATTCATGACTGGGGGTAGATAAACAGAGAGTAGTGTATTTAACCTGGCAGGTAATATGTTTAACTCTTCTACAGGTGAGAGCATACAGTATGTATGTGTGTGTGTGTGTGTTTGTGTGTTGTTCAGTAGCTGTATAAAATACCACAAGTTTGAGCACAGCTGTGTGTAGGATCGTGCACACAGTCTCAGAGGGTTCAGGAGGTCTGTTAGGGGAGACTGGACACTACAGTGGTGGTTTCTTGTGTTGTAGGGGGTTATCACTGCCCGCCCTCTCCCATGCTTTAATGCAGCTCCTCCTAGTGGTGAGTCTGTGGTACTACCAGTTAAGGTTACTCCTAAAACACACAACTCACAGACAGGAAGCAGGAAGTCTACAGGAAGCGGTCAGCCGTCAGTGACCGGTCAGTCCTCCAGGGAAGAGACAGTGTGGCACACCATTGGAGTCATCATGACCAACAAAAAGAAGTAGATGTAAGGAAAAGTCAACGCTTGTGTTTTTTTTTTTTTGTCTTTTTCTCCACTTCATAATAAAAAATAAGTCTGTTTTTGTACTTTACAATACAATTCAACATCCCCACCGAGGAAGCATCAATCATCAGTCCAGCACTGACAAGAAAAGAAACTCTTTTTTAGTTGTTTCTCTTGTTTTTTTGACTTTTTTCAGGGTTTTTAAAAAAAAAAACAACAGAGTTGGTGGGGGGGAGGACTGTAGAGGGTGGAGGGGTTTCTCAGGAAGAATCAGGATCTTGGACAATGGGGGACGAGGATCAAGTAAGGCGGGCAGGAACACAGAACATATCTGGAGAGGAGGAAATCTGCCAAGGGTATTGTCTCTTTTTTTTTCTTTCTTTTTTTTTTTCTTTTTTTTTATGAGGAGCACTTTGTACAGCCGCACTTGACCACTTTCTCTACTTCCTGGACAAACGAAGAGCCGTCAGTGCACTGGAAGGTGTATTTCCTGCGTTTGCTGCGGAGGGGGGTGCAGCAGGTGCCCTGTCCTTCTGCTCCCCCCGGGCAGCTGCCCCGACACTCTAGACGGGAGACCTTCTCCTGGGTTTGGCACGCCGCGTAGCCTTGCTGTCTCTGGTAGACATCTCGGACCCGTTCACCTCGGCAGGCCACCTCTGCAGGGATGAGCGAACAGAAAGGTTACAAGTTACCCAAGCTTTTACCGATGTTCTGGAGCGGCAAGGACATGTGAGAAGTAACTCTGCAATGCTCTTAACTGGAGGTGGGGAAATTAAGCAGATATTCATTTTGCCAACTAGTTAGTCTTCACCAAAAATTAGGAACGAACTGGTTGGGTTGCCAAATGTGTGTCTGGTTATCCTCCCCCACCTCTGATAAAGAGCAGTGCACAGCTGCTTCCCTGAGCTTGTCTATGGTAACCATCTGTGGCTGTTTCCATGCAGTGAATGAATATGGATAAGGGACACCATGACTGATGACGCACTACATAAATCCTTCAACAAAAAAGGTAAGTCAAATCAAGACCAATTGCCTTAAAAAAATGTTTATACTCTAATGCAAATGGTGCTTGGCTAGATTTTCTTAGATGACAAAAAAATAAGAAATTGTTCTCCTACATTACGATATTATGACTTCCTTGAATAGCCGTTTTTGCAGTACACAATTTGAAAGAACAACTTTAGCGACATGTTGCATGAGGTGAAAACAAGGTGAGGTAGAGACAGTGAGTAGAGGTATTTTTGGTTGCACTGGAGATGAACCAAGAAAAAATATCAGAAAAAAGAGGCAGACAGTAAAATGTGACCAGGCAGTCTCACCTGAGTAACTCCCCGTGTGGGATTAAGAGGAGGCTCAGGAGATGCTGGGTTGAAAAAGCAATGGGGTTACGAGTGTTAAGTGCAGAAACATAAAACACTGTTAGACACACACATACTACTGCTGAGAGACTTTAAATGAGAGTTTACAAGTAACAGAGCAAAGCGGAAGCGTAGAAGAGGTTCTGTTAAGAGAAACATACTAGATTCAAAAGCTTGAACAGCATTAGATATTATTTTAAAAAATGTGAGAAGTTAGTACAGAGCACAGACACAGCCAACATACCCCCGTGCACCTCTTCCAAAGATGCCTCCATGTTTTTCTTACCTCTGTCACACGCCTCTCCTGTGTATCCGCTGTTACACTCGCAGTATGCTTTGCCCAGGCCCGACACTCTGCATTTGCCATGTTTGCAGCGAGACAGACTGCAGGGGTTAGCTGCATCCTGGTCCTGCTCATCACAGAGTACGCCGACAAAACCAGGCTGGCAGCGGCAGGAGTAAGAGTATGAGTTGATTGGAAGGCAGGTACCATGGATACACCTGTAGGGGGAAGGAGGGAGGGACAGGGAAAATAAAGATGTGGACAGATATACAAATCTTCTTAAGTCCCTCTTTTGATTCAAAAGCCTGAAACACTTGAGCTGTAGTCATTCTGGTTTTCAAGTAATACAAACACAAAAACCCACTCACTTATTGCCATCGCAGGGGTTGTTGACTTGTTGGTCACACAGGGCTCCCGTCCAGCCTGGGTGGCAGGTGCACGTGAAGCCGCGGTGCCCTGTTGCGTGGCAATCACCCTGGACGCAGGCGCCTCTCTGGCACGGCTGGCAGCCTGGCTCCACCCCGTGGCCCAGCCACTGTCTGGTGGTGCTCTGTGAAGTCCCAGAGCCTGGAGCACCTGGCCCCAGCCCAGCTCCCAGGTCCTGGAGCTTTCCATTAATGTACAGGTTACGGAGGCAGCCGTGGAAGCTGGTGCCGTTGCGTCCACCTGAGCCTTGCTGCAGGGCTGACAGACCCCCAGAGGCTGAGGCGCGCTCTGGCATCCCTGATGGAAGAGAAGATTAGTGATTAGAGAGATCACAGCATCACGAATGCATAGATACATTATTTTGAAGTGATGAAGAAACACAGTGAGGGGAGAGATGGATTAAACAGTAAAACTAAAACAAATATATTAAGGATTTAATTTTAAAATGATGACTGTTTGTAACACTTCTTTCCTCTTGCATCCAGGGGAACAACCAAAATGCCCGAGCCAGAGGATCAGACATGATTACTAATTACTAAACATGTCTTACATATATTCTAGTCCACTGACAGATTTAAATCCCAGAAAAACTTCAAACCAGTTATAAACCAACCAGTAAACACACTGTAAAGGTGTTCTGTGTGCTCCCTTTCTGGTCTCTCTTGGCACATGTGCTGCAGTGTTTTGAATAAATCTGAAGTTTATCTTTTTCTTGGATACTCCCACTGAGAGAGTCTTGCAGTAATCAAGACAGCCAGTGATAAAAGGGTTTCACAGTACCTTTCCGTGACGAATGGCTGTACTTTGGCAAAACGCCTGAGATGATTAAAGGTACTTTTAGTGATATTTCTTGTGAGCTTTGAATTTCAAATCAGGATCAAAATGCACATCAAGGATACTTGTGGTTGGATGTTTTGTGCCAGGTATTTAAGTAAGTCTATCTATCTGGGCCTTTGCTCTGATAGAAAACCACCTTTTTTCTTATTTTTGGCCATCTGTGTGACAATCAATTCACCGAACCACTAAATAATCAAAAAATATAACATGCACGAAGAGAAAATTGAGGAGAGCAACTAAAAATCTGCCTTATGTCTGATTATTATATGATATACTTATTACTTATACTATTTATCACACATAACCAACAATGTGAATCAGGAAATTATATAAAATTATATAGTGAAAACATTCACACAGTCTTCATAAAGCTTTTAGTGCATATAGTGTTTTCTTTAAAGCTTTATTGAATAAACCAGATTTTGCTGATGAATAAATGAATATATGCAGCAAGGAGCTTGGATTCCAATCACATAACCCTCTGTGACCTGCAGTAGGATAAATGAAATATCTATTGTGTATTTGCGTGGAGTGATTCACACACATACATACACATAAATCCAAACTGTGGTCCTTACCTCCCAGGTAAAGTGGGGAATCTATGTTGAGTGTGGACTGTTTGCTGATAGAGTTGATGGATTTGGGCGGCCCGCCATCGATGGACAGAGACAGAGTCTGGTCTGATGCTACCAACTCCACTGCATGAAAACTACCATCATTCACTGTCTCCACGCTGAGAGAGAGAGAGAGAGAGGGAGGGAGAGAGAGAGAGAGGGAGAGAGAGAGAGAGAGAGAGAGAGAGAATGGAGAGATTCTGTCTAGATATTTGGGTCATCCATCATGTGAATGTGGCATCAGTGACATTTCTGCTTGTATTAGCAAGTACCTGTATATAGCAGAAGGAGGGTAGGACCCAGTATCGTAGCTGACCCTGAGGCGTCCCCTGTACAGCTCCATGGCAATGTGATCATTGTCCCCTTTGTACAACAACACGCCGCTGTCCTCATCTGTAGCAATCTGAAAACACAGCAGGATGACCGTATAAATGACCTTATGAACAGGGGTAGAAGAAGTGTTCAGGTTCTACTTAAACCTGCAGCAGCATTTGTTTTTTACCCACTTGGCAGCGGAAACAAATTCTGAACTCAACACTGACATGTTAGCAAACAGCTGCTTAACAGTTGCTGACGTTATCATTAATTTAGAGTCGTGTTTCTGGCCACCAGGCCACTCTTAGTACAGGATTCACTCTCTTTTAGTTCCTTTTTTGGTCCCTACTGACTCCTGAATGAAGTATTTGGCTCTTTAGCTGCTATTTGCTCCATTAGAATCACAAGCTTTTATGTATGTATTTATGCACGGCAGAATTTCTGTGTTGTAGCTGGTTGAAGTAGAGCTAGTTTAAAATACTTTAAAATAAAGTTAGGTATGTCCAGGCGTTACCAGTCGAGGGGGTTGGACCACCTTCAAAGGGTCACAAAATAAATCTGAAGGGCTGTGAGATGATTAATGGGAGAGGGAAGAAGAAAAAAGGTTCTGCTTCACAAATCCTCTAATATATGCTTATTGAGATATTTATCTCTTTGGACCTTGAAAAATATTTAAATGAAACCATCTGTGAAGTTTAGAGGTGAAATGTCTCCTTGGTTGAACTGCTGCCAACTCACAGACATCTGAAATATGACAAGGGGCTCTAACTAGACATTGTTTTTCATTAGGGGTTAAGGGCCATAAAGGCTGGGCGCCACCTGTATAATTTGTTAAAACGCATTGTTCTTGTAGGCGTTGTAATCTGAAAAGTAACTAGCGACTATTGCTGTCAAATAAACGCAAATGTAAAAAGTGCAATATTACCTCAACAGGAGTAGAGTAGGGTAGAAATATAATGTGGCATGAAATTGTAATACTCAAGTAAAGTACAAGCACCTCAAAACTACTTCATTACAACTGTAGTATATTTAAGTACATGAGGTTTTGACTGAGTGAGTGCGCACCTGTAGACTGATGTTGGTGTGCGGTGAGAGGAGACTGGAGGGAAGCTGCAGGTAGGACTCCCGGTTCACAAAGTTGACACTGACGAGCGTCTCACAGCGTTCG